ATATTACGACTTTATTCTCAAAATATTACGACTTTATTCTCATAATATTAGACTATATTCTCATCAAATATTACGTCTTTATTCTCATAATATAACGACTTTACTCTCGTAATATTATGATGTTATTCTCATAATATTATGACTTTACTCTCATAATATTACGACTTTATTCTCATAATATTATGACTTTACTCTCATAATACTATGACTTTACTCTCATTATATTACGACTTTATTCTCATAATATAACGACTTTACTCTCGTAATATTATGACGTTATTTTCGTAATAATAATTTTAAAAATCTGTGTGGTCCTAATACTCCGTTGTAGATACTGGAGCTAAACCCAAATTATTAATGTTTATTTATTTATGTTTAACGTTTTAACTGTGAAGTTATTCTTCCAGTAAAAAGACGCGTAAATACGTTTCAACACATTTTAAGTYTGACATGAAACTGATCACTATGGTAACGTGGGAGCACGTGGTCATAAACTCACACAAAGCCGACATCAGGCGAAGGGTAGGTGTCTYATTTCACAGCAGTTTTGAGCAGCCTACCCGGCCCAGGGAGGATGTGGCCCATGTGGCCCAGCCAGCCATGAATTGAGACACAGCCTGTGTTGTGAAAGAACAGTACCAGTTCCCAGTGACCTGAAGTCCTGAGTACTTGGCCCAGCTGAAAAAGGTTCTGATAATCCCTGCATGATGAGCAATTAAATACCCAAGTCTAACTTTGAATCTGTTCACTGTGCATAATACAGGCTTGTACTTTGAACACGCTAACTCTTTCATAAAGAAGCACCTAAACATCTTCCAGGTCAAACCTATCAAACCAACCTGAGCTGTTGCTCCCTCTTCAGCTCCTCTGCAGTCAGGTTGTAGAACTCTGGTGGAAGCTCGAACCGATGGGCGTTAGGAGAAGGTCTGAAGGCCCGAGGCTGCCGATCCAGCTGAGCTCTGACCGGTTCTCCTCTCCGAAGGCGATCTCTCCGCTCTTTCATTAGCTCTAGAGCATCAGGATTCTGCTCTGGTAACACCAGAAACTCCTCTTCCTCCTCTRATTGACATTACAAGATAAACAAATGAAAAAATGCAACAAAAAAGACAACTCAATGGGCCTCATGCAGGAACATGTTCGTATTCTTCTCCTAAATTTCTCTTACTTTTGTTCGTACAAAGGGTTCGTACGAACATGCCACGTCAGATTCAACAAACTCTTCTATCTTCAGGAAAAGTGTGTAAATGAGGAGTGTAAACTGATGAATGCATATCCAGGTGCTCGAGGAGAGATTAGCATAATTACC